GTGCTGTTGTCTTTTATCTTTTTGGTATTTGTTTCTTTTCTCCAGCCTTTCTGATTTTCCTGAAATGTATCAATCTCAGTTAGAAGGTGCTTGATACATTTTGAAGGGCTGAGCAGGTGGTGAGCTAGCAGTCTCCAGCTTTGCCAGGTGAGGTGCTTGGGTAACTATGAACCAAGTCCTACTCAGCTCTCAGATCTTTCAAAATCTGAACACAACTCTCATTCAATCCCATCTCTCTCCTCTGGTCAGGAGTCACTGCCTTTGAACATTGGCCTATTTCCATCTAAACTCTCTTCCATCTATTGGTTCTGCAATAAACCAAAGAATTTTAAATTCCTTGTTAAAATCCTAATTCCAAGATGAAGGGAAGGTTTGGATGAAGACTGGGATGTTTGTGAGGCAGTTGGCCCAACCCCCCATTCTGAATGTACATGCTGTCACAAGGAGGAAGGCTGACACAAGGGTGTCACAAGGAGGAAGGCGAAAATTTGTTCCTCTTGGTTTCTGAGGACAGGACAAGGAGTAATGGGCTTAAAGTGCAGCAGGGGAGGTTTAGATTGGACATTAGGAAAAAATTCCTAACTGTCAGGGTGGTCAAATATTGGAATAAATTGCCAAGGGAGGTGGTGGAATCTCCCTCTCTGGAGATATTTAAGAACAGGTTAGATAGACATCTGTCAGGGATGGTGTAGGTGGAGCTTGGTCCTGCCTTGAGGGCGGGGGGCTGGACTCGATGACCTCTTGAGGTCCCTTCCAGTCCTATGATTCTATGATTCTATGCTAACCCATTGCTATGAGGCACAGCTTTTATCTCTCTGCCTCATAAAATCACTTCCAAAGAGCAAATTCCTTTTGCCTTGTCCTTGTTCCTCCAAATTTCAGGAGCTTGCTAAAAAATATTCTGCCTTTATTTCTTTAACAGCGTTTTGGGGTTTCCCCACTCCTGCACCCCTGTAGTGTCATGAACAGACTCCGCCGGCCAATAGGATTGAGGGAGTTTATTGCTTCTCCAAGAGACAGCACAGATGTAATCTGGTTACAGGAACTGGGGCTAGGAGGCCTCAGAGCCCCCTCCCTTTAGATGGAAGGTGGCTGGGCCCTACAATCCCAGCCCCCCTCCCTAGCCCCTTCTCCCCTGCTTCCCAGACCGAAACTAATTCTCTTCCAGCCCTGCCCCCCAGCCAGGGGTTGGTCCTGCCTTCCTCCCTTTGTCTCTCTCCCTGGGAGGCAACTGGTTGGACAGGTTGAGAGGCCCTTGCCTAGTGACTCATCTGCTGTCCTGCTGGGCCGTGCTACAAATAGCCATCAGTGAAGGTCATCCGCTGCCCAAGCCTAGCCACCAGCAAGGCACCCCCACTATGCCACAATTTCACACCCTGTTCTAATCATACCAGATGAGTCCAGTGCTATGTTGCTGTACCGGTATATTTTTCAAAATACGCAAATTTCCAGAATGCAAACTCCTCTATCAAATGCACTTCACTTGATGTAAATATTTGCCAAGTGGTGCTGCCTTCTTCCTAGTTTAAACAAGTGCCTTTTCCCACTAGGTGAATTGAGAAAGGGTTCTTGGGGCTTTGTTTCAAGCTGCAAAGGCCTCCTGCCTTAGGGGAATAAAAAATCTGCTTACCTGAGGACAGATGCAAAAACTACACAATACCATTCAGCAAAACATAATTGAGAGAAATCTCTACCCCAGTGCATTTCAGACTGCTTGCATTTGTGACCCCTTTCCCACAGCAAGACTGAGGCTACATCTACACTGCAGGGTTTTTGTGCAAGAAGTCTTTTGCAGATGAGTTCTTGTGCAAAAACTTCTTGCACAAAAGCGTATCCACACCTTAAGGCACATTACTTTTGTGATGCGTTTTTGTGCAAGAGAGCGTCCATGATGCATGGACACTCTTGCCCAAGAAAGCTCTGATGGCCCATCAGAGCACCTGTGCTTTTTCAGATAGGCTCTTTTTGCTCAAGAAACCCCTGTGGGGAACCCACTCATGCCTTTTTGCGCAAGAGCTGTAGCACAAAAAGGAGTAATGCCTCGTAGAAGGAGGTATACCTACACCGCAAAAAGCCCACTGTTCTGTCAATTGACTGTAGATTTTCTTGCGCAAAAATGCACTTGAGGTGTGGACGCTCCACAGGTTTTTGCGCAAAAACCTTGTAGTATAGATGTAGCCTGAGTGTGCCCCCCCTTAATATTAAAAATGGGGGGTTAATTTAATTTAATGGGGGCTTGGGACTGTCAGCCTCATGTAGCTGGCCGTTCACAGCCCCCATGTAATTATCTTGCGACCCTTCTGAGAGGTCAGAACCCCCCCCCGTTTGATAAGCACTGCTCTACACCCTGTTGATCAGTATATACAACAAGAAAAGCTATTTCTTAAAAACATTTTATCTTTCAGTTTTCTCCATCTTCCTCTTCTCTCTCACCTTTTTCTCCCTTTTGGCCTTCTCTCCATTCTACACTTAATGCTTTTGTTTTCCTCTTTATCATTATTTTCTTCCTCTCACATGTCCCCTTCCCTCTGGCCTACATCTTGCTCCATTTCTATGGCCTTCTTTGCTTACTATATATGGGTATGTCTACATTGCATTCCTCCTTCGAGAGAGGAATGCAAATGCAGACAAACGAAATTGCAAATGAAGCGCAGATTTGAATTTCCCATGCTTCATTTGCATAATCACAAATGAGTACAGGATCTTTCGAAAAAGCCTGCTGTTTTCGAAATAACTGGATCTAGACCGCGGTTTCACTTTTGAAATAGTGCTTTTTTGAAAGAGTGCCATAACGTGATTATGCAAATGAAGCACGGGAAATTCAAATCCACGCTTCATTTGCAATTTTGTTTGTCTGCATTTGCATTCCTCTCTCGAAGTAGGAATGCAATGTAGACATAGCCAAATACTTTCTCTGTTATGTTCTATTCCCGCCTTTCTATTTCTTTCTCTGCTGCCCTTCTCTGTCCACTCTCTTATATTTCTGTCTCTCCCTCTTCTCACCCGTTCCCAAACGTTTCCACTTTTCTTGCTCCCCTTTCTGTTTCACAAACTTCTCCCCTCACTCTCTTTCCCACTGTATGTCTAATTTGCTTTTACTATGCAGAGTGTTTGCCAGATTATAGCAAAAGGAGGTCACCTCACCAGCATCTCCAGTGCAGCTCACAATGATTTCCTTGTGAACCTCGCCAGTTATGCAGACAAAAGGACAACCCAGTTCTGGTCAGGAGGAAGTCACCAAAAGGTAAGTGTACCCAGAAAAGGCATGAAAATAAGAACTAACTGGGAGAGGTTCTCATAAGAGCTAATCAAAAGTTTTTCCATGGAAAATTTGTTTTTTTAAGTGATGTTCAACTTGACATTTTCAAATTTGAGCCCCTGCCCCAAAATTGGCTTTTGATGGCAGAAAAACAAAATATTTTCAATTGCTATAAACATAGTTTTTCGGATTTGATTTTGACCTCCCTCCAAAATTCTTCAGTTCCCCTCCCCCTTCTTCTTGCGCCCCCCGTACCCCCCACACACACCAGCCAGCTGCAGCCCACAACATCAGGATGACCTGGGTTCAGTCCCCTTTAGCTAAACTGGCTTGTGGATAATGAATTCTAGGTTTAATTTCAGCCTGTCAGAATGCCAGCTGTGCTCCTGTGAATATATTCATTCAGATTTTTTAATGAATTCACTTGGACTGTCTTCCCAGCAATATTCCAGGAAATGAACAAACATTGGCAGTAGCTTTTGTTGATACACTGAATTTACAACTAGTACTAAGGAATAGTCAAAGAAAGTGAATCTCCTATTTGTGATCACTAAGGGTACGTCTAGACTACCGCGTTTTGTCGACGGAAGTTTTGTCGACAGATACTGTTGACAAAACTTCCGTCGACAAAGAGCGTCCAGACACATTGAGTTCTGTCGACAAAGCAAGCTGCTTTGACGACAGAACTCCGTAGTCTGGACGCAATGTTACAGGCAATAACACCTTCTGTCGACAGAGTTATGCCTTGTAAAATGAGGTATACCAGCGTCGACAAAACTGCTGAGTTCTGTCGACGTTATGTTGACAGAACTCAGTGGTAGTGTAGACGCTGGTATAGTTTTGTCGACAAAAGTGGACTTTTGTCGACAAAACTAGATAGTCTAGACACACCCTAATACTAGTTCAATTAGTTCGATTACTAATTGAACTAGAAACTCAATTCTGTGAGTTATACAAGTGCAATCAGGAACCAGAAATGTACCATGTGCTCTCAATCTCCACCCAAACATCTTAAAGATCAAAGACCAAATACCTTCTATAAACTCCTCATAAGTGAACTATAGGCCAATTCTGACAAATAACTAGCAGGAAGGAAAATTACAATCTATATGAGGACAATTCACAAAAGGAAGAAAATTAAATTAATCTAATATATTATTCATACAGCTCTATAGGCCAATAATGTTACTGCAGGTAATAAGATTCCGCACACATTTCCATAAAAGCCCTGTCCCCCACTCATTTTCAGTCCCTGCAGAGTATTAGAATACCTGTTGTCTGCAGTTTTCATTAAATCTCTGTATTGCTTTTCTGCAGGGTGCTTCTCTGACATGGACCGATGGATCGATGCCGAATTTCATCCAGAGGCCTCTAAGCTCGATTCTCAATGCCATTGGTGGAGTATTTAACAGTATCTTCAAAGTAAAAATTTGCCTGACCCTAAATTTAGGAGGTAAAGAAAATAGCAATCTATTTATGACTTGCATTTTCATACCATGGAGAGGGTCTGAGGATAAGGCACAATTGTTTCATTTAAATTAATAGGTTGTGAGGGCAGAAGGCACCACTATGATCATCAGGCCATAGGATGTCCTTGAATTAATTCTTGTTTGAACAACAGAATATCTTTTAGAAAAAGATCCAATCTTAATTTCAAAAATTCCACTGATAGAAAATCCATCAGTCCTGGGTAAACTGCTCCAATGATTAATTCCCTTACTAATGAAATCACATTTCCAGTCTCAGTGTGTCTAGCTTCCAGTTTCAGCTACTGGACCTTGTTGTATATTATTAGTCTGCTAGATTGAAGAGACCATTAACAAAGTTTTGTTTCCCATGTAGGTACTTAGATCAAGTCACCACTTAACCCTCTCTGCTAGTGTCAGTGAGCTCCATCTAGGTTATCACTATAATGCAGGTTTTCCAGTCCTTTAATCATTCTCATGGATTTTCTCTGAACCCTCTTCAATTTACCAACATCCTTCTTGAAGTATGGAAAAGAGAACCAGACGTGATTCTAATGATGCTTTCTGTTTCTAGACACAGCTTCCTTGTTCATCAAGGTCTGAACTTCTTCCCAAAACACCCATACCCACAAAACACACATGCCTATTTGCTCACAGAGATCCACTATTATAATTCAAATCCTGATCTACAAACCATTTCCTTGGGTAAAACAATGGAGTCTCCATTTTTGTATAATCTCTGCCTGACCCTACCAATGGACCTTAACTACCCCTGGATTTCTGGATTACTTGGAGAAAATATCACCTTTTGATTAGTGCAATTTATATATTTTGTAAACACAAATTAGAGGAAAATTAGTTTTCCAGGAACTGTGCTAAGCCCAAATGAGCTCCTGAAAAAACTCATGTTACTTTTCCTTTTTATCTTTCTATGTCTATGTTTCCAGCCCAGGGTAAGTGGGATGGCTGTGACTGCAACAAGAAGTTATCATTCATCTGCAGCTACAAACCCAATGTGACCCCCCCATAGCCTGCAACAGGAAGTCTATGCTGATGATGAAATCTGACTACTTTTACTGTGCTCAGAATATTGTTTAGTTTCAGTCAATGAACAAATTTTTTTGTATGTTAAAAATGGAGATGACGATTTTAAATATCCAAAATGTTTGTGCATATGAAATAGAGAGAAGAGAAAGTAGTACAAGAAATAAAAAAATGACGCTCTTGTAGATTGCATTTAGAACGCTGTAGAAAGGGTGCTGTAAAATATATATTCTGATTAGATCTGAATGCTTGATGAAATGAGCACTGTATTGGGCTTTTCCACAGGGGTTTCAAGAATATTCATGAGAGCTTTTTAATTATTAAATAATTACAAATCATTACAACATTGCTCCTTTCACCATTTAATCACACCAATTCATACATTTTAAATCCTGGAAATTCTACTTTCATAATGTCAAATAAATCCAAGAAAAGTCAGATGAATTATTTCAATTTTTAAGCAATTAAATGGCTAGTTCACTGAATTGTAATGTAGCCCAAAAAAGCAGTACAAATCATGTGGAACAGTCATGTGCAAATCATTGTACACAGAGATGAAGCACAGCTTTGTTAAATGCATGGGATGGCATTTTGTGAAATGAAGCAAAATTTGTTATTACAATTATGTAAAAGTGACTAAACATTATACATTTCTGTGGTCTGTGTAAACAAGCAACTATATTTTATTTTTCCTCTTGCTTTTTACTCATTAGTTAGTTGCAAGTTCTTACTGTAATTGTGTCCCTCTCCAGGACATGTAAGTAACTGGCAAATCTTCACAGAATCCTAAATTCCTCATTGCATTATTTAGGTGATAATGGTGCACCTAGGTAAACAAACATCCTTTGCTAGCAATGGTGAGAATGCTAACATAGGCCAACCACTGGCATTTTAATGATTGTGTCATCTAAACCTGCTCAGGGGAGGATTTTATGCTATGGTGATAACACCAGATACTACTGGTGCATTATTTATACTAGTGTTCCCGCCTTTGGTGACAGTAGTGGAGCTGCAGTTGTTGGACTAATAGCAAGAGCACTATTGTGGGAGAGTTGCGGGGAGAAAGTCTAGACCTAGCCTTACAGGGATGCTGCTTGCTCTTCCCATTCCCTTCATGATCAGGGAGCAAGGTGAAAGAACACAGCTTGTGTGCATTCCTCGCACACTTGGCAGATAAGGGAAGGGGGCAGAGGTGTAAGTGATGCAAGCTGTATACTTTCCCTTCATGTCCTAGTAGTGAATGGACTTGGAAGACGAGCAAGCAGAGTGTGGAAAAAGAGCAAGCAGAGTGTCCTGGCACACATGGCTGTAGCTCCCACCTGCCCTTGAGTAATAGTGAGAAATGATTTTTAAATGTATGAATTTGTCCATACATAATGTCCCCTCAGTATCAATGTAAACCCTTATAATAATTACAGGGTATGCCATTGAGATTGAGGTGAACATAACAACTGCCCTACTGGGTCAGAACAAAGACCATTTAGCCCAGGATAGTAGCCTATGCCATGTGCCCCAGAGGGAATGAACAGATCGGGGAATAATCAAGTGATCCCAGTCACCCATTCCCAGCCTCTGACAAACAGAGGCTAGGAACAACACCCCTGCCCATCCCAGCTAATAGCCATTGATGGACCTATCTGCCAGGAAATTATCTCGTTATTTTTTAACCCTGTTATGGTCTTGCCCTTCACAATATCCTCTGGTATGGAGTTCCATAGGTTGACTCGGTGATATGTGAAGGAATACTTCGGACATAAATGAACATGATTTGTTGAAGAAGAGTAAACATGATTTTTGGAAAGGGAGATCATGCCTCACCAATCTACTAGAATTCTGAGAGGAGGCATCAAGTATGTGGGCGGGAAGGTAGATGACATGATGGATCATAGAAGTCCCCTTGGGGTTATCACCCAGTGGGCTGATCAAGCTACTAATGCCTGTCCTCCTGCCTTCTGGTGCTCTCCTCTACCCTGTCCTGCTGGGCCAGAAGCTCTGGTCTCCCCTGGCCAAGGCACAGAGCTGGGGTTATCACCCCTCTGCAGAGCAACACAGACACTGAACCCCAGGAGAACTCAGCTATAAGACTGCTGATAGTACCCAGAAACAAAGCCCCCAGAAAAGGGCCAAAACCCCAAATAAATCCATCTTAAGTGATTATAAGTGAAAACAGAGAGATCAATGTTACTAAGCTAAAACAAACAAAACATGCCAGCTAATTCAAATACACTAAGAATCTTGTTACATGCAAATTCTTACCCTAATCAGCTGTTCTTATATCAAGCCACAGTTAATCTTTTTCTGATCTGAACCCACCACCTTTACCTTCACCCTTTCTCTACAGTTCTTTGTTTCTAGATCTCTTCATGTGGATCCTGTTGAGGTGGGGAAACACTTTCTCAAGCCAGCTCAAGACAAAGACCTGACTGATTGCTTTCCTTTCCTTAAATAGACTTTGCCGCAGGGTGTTAACTCTTTGTTCGGTCTCCCTACCCTCATGCAAGAGTTCCATGTTCAAGATAGATTCCAGTACCAGGTGGCATGGTCACATGTCTTTCTAGGGCCAACCACAGTTTGAGCTTACAGGAAAAATAAAAACCAATCACAGGTCATAGGTTTGAGTACTTAGCCATTGAGTTCCTAAAGTATCACTAATGCCCCTGATCTGCACATTTAGAATTACTGGGGGGCTGTGCCTACTGCTTGCTATGCTCACCAACCCCCCTCTCTCTGGAGGTCAGCAGCCCCTGGGGAGGGCCAGGACAAGGTATGGCAGCTCTGGCCTGTCCCCTCCCCTCCAGCCATCAGGCAGGGCTGAGGCTGGGCTGGAGGCTTTGAGGGGAGGAAGCCTGAAGGCAGGGCAAGGAGGCTAGAGGCTTTGAGGGGAGGCAGCATTCTGGAAAGGGAGGAGGGAAAGGGAGGCATAGGGGTGCCTGCTCGCCCCGCGTGAGGTGCAGTAAGGTGCAGGTAGTGCAGTCTGCACACGGTGCTTCGGGGCACTGCAGCCTTCTGAGGTGGGGGAAACAGCAGTGTGGGAGGGGAGGGGGGCACTTTCCCAACCTCTTCCCCATGCGGTCCTGCCTGTGCTGCTCACTGCCCCAACCGCACCTGCAGAGCCTAGGGCTGCCTTCCCATCTGCCCAAAGGGAAGGAGCAAACAGGTCAGTGCAGCGGCTCCCCCCACGCAGCGCTTCGGGGCACTGCAGCCTTCTGAGGTGGGGGAAACAGCAGTGTGGGAGGGGAGGGGGGCACTTTCCCAACCTCTTCCCCATGCGGTCCTGCCTGTGCTGCTCACTGCCCCAACCGCACCTGCAGAGCCTAGGGCTGCCTTCCCATCTGCCCAAAGGGAAGGAGCAAACAGGTCAGTGCAGCGGCTCCCCCCACGCAGCTTGCAGGTGCTCTGGAAGGCACAGTAAGCGCAGCCACTGGGGAGGGGGTGAGTCTCCATGGGGGCAGCCGGACTCTAGGCAGTTGGGCATTGCGCTCCAGCTCTCCAAGAGCCTGGTGGGGGGGAGCTCCCAAGAGCCCACTGGCACATACACCCAGCTGGGAGCCCCGGTGTTAGTATAGGTCCCCAGGCTGTTGTCCCAAACACTATACCCTCCCCCTCACCCCTGGGCTATCATGGCTGCGATGTGGGGTCTGACAGCTACTGTGCCATGTTTCTTGGTGTTGAAACCTTGTGGGATGAGGTTTACAGGGGCGGTCAACAAATGCCTTTGATGTTGACTGCGGAGCTTCCAGACTAGTGCGCTGAGCCGACAAACAGCTGATCGGCTCAGCGCGGCAGCCATTTTAATGCCGCTTCCTTTAGGAATGTCTAGTAAACTAATCTACATGGCTCTGGCGACAGAGCCATGTAGTCTAGACATACCCTTTGGGCTAGAAGGGAGCTTGGGATATGGGGCTGTGGTGCAGGAGAGTGTGTGGGATCTGAGAGTGAGTTTGCGTGAAAGGGGAGGTTGTGACCTGGGGCAGGCGATTGCGGTGCAGGGTCTAGGATGGTTTATGGTTGCAGGAAAACATTCTGGCCTGGGGGCGAGGTGTAGGAGGGGAGTGGAAGGTCTGGGGGAGACTTGTGACCTGGGGCGGGTGGGAGGAGGGAACAGAGGGTTTGATTGTGACCTCGGGAAGGAATTGGGGTGCAGGGTCCAGTAGGGGTATGGGTGCAGGGGAGGATTCTACCCTGGGGAAGGATTGGGAGGGGTGCAAGGTTTAGGAAGGAGCTGGGGGGAGGGGCTGGGGTGCCAGAGGCAGGCTCCAGCCAGGAGGTGCTTACCTAAGCAGTTCCTGGCCAACAACACTCTCAGGCTGGTTTTGGGGCTGGCTGTGTGCATGTGGCTGTGTGTGCTGCAGGGAATGGGAGGGGAGCAGGGGGAGAGGCTTCATGCATTGCCCCCATCCCCAGCAAAATTTCTCAGCTCCCATTGGCCAGTTTCTGGTCAATAGGAATTGAGAGATTTTGCTGGAAGTGGGGAGAGTGCACTGAAGCCTCTCCCTCCCCGTGGTGCAGAAAGCAATGCAGAGCAGCTTGACACTTTCATCCAAGCTACACCCTGCTGCAGGGCAGGGCGCAGGCTAGATCAAAAGGCTTGGTGGGCTGGATCTTACCTGCACCTGCTGTAGGATGACAGGGTGACCAGCAGGGGTGCTACGGCAGGCTTCCTCCCTGTCCTGACACTGCAGACCCCACTGTGCCCCAAAAGTGGCCAACAGCTGGTCCAGCTCCTGGGTGAGGTTGGATGGGGTTCCCTGCACTGTCTCCACCCTGGGCATTGGCTCTGGGGACTGGAGCCTATGGGTGAAAGCAGCACACAGAGCAACTTGTGCACCTCCGCCTATGAACCAGACCTGCTGCTGGCCACTTCCAGGGCACAATGCAGTCTGCAGTGCCAGAACAGGCACAACACTCTAGTCAAAAGATATAATTATGTTGGGCCACAGGCATCAACAATTTTCTTCAGCTGGGTGATGAGGAAAGAATATTGAAAACCAGTGGGTTAAATGATAGGAAGCAAAGGGCAGGAATAAACGGTCAGTTTTCAGAATGGAGAGTGGTAATTAGTGGTGTTTCCTACGGGTCTGTACAGGGACTAGTCCTAGCCAACATACTCATAAATGCTCTAGAAAAAGGGGTAAAAGTGAGGTGGCAAAATTGTAGATGATACAATGTAGAGAATCAACAAGTATAGTGCTTTGGCTGCGTGACAGGGAATCCCAAGGACAAAACCAAGAAAAGCTGCAGACCTTGGAGGACGATCCGAGAGTCAGCGGGAACGCGCGTAATCAAGAGTCCTGAGCCAAAAATAACAACATCTGCCCTAGTCAACGACCTTCGAGAATGCTGTGTTGGGACTGTGAAAAAGCACAGTTTGGGAAAAGCAGGATGTGGACTTTTGGGAAGTTGAGAGGGTATAAAGATAGTTGTAATCTTGCAATAAAATGATTTCGTGCTTGCACCAGCCGGAGTCCGTGCCTTCATACACCACAATACAAAACTAATCAAAGTTGTTAAATTCAAAGTAGAGTGCAAAGAGCTATAAAGGTGTCTCACAAAACTAGGAGATTGGACAGTAAAATGGCAGAGGAACTTCAATGTGGACAAATGCAAAGTAATGCACATTGGAAAACACAGTCCCAATAATACATATTAA